TTCTTACGAAGACGCAAAACCTGACATTCTGTCAACGACATATTAAAAGCCTTCAGACACGAAGTCTTAAGTTTGGCAATAGGCTCTCTGTCTGGAATGTTGTAGGCCAAGACGTTATGTGAAGACATAATCCTCTCAACAGCTTCAGGCAAATAGTCAATTATGAGCTCGCATTTGATAAGTGATTCAAGACAGATATTTTGTGATGGGTCACACAGTTGCGCTAGGGGCATAATGGTGTCAAACTTGCTCTGTATGTCTGCTATTAACTTCTGAAGTGTCAGTAAATCATCTCTGTCGGTTCCTCCATGATATCAGATACCATAACGCTGGGTCTGTCTGGTGTCAAAAGTGTAGAACCGTCAACGTAGCTGAAGCCTTCAGATGGTTGACGAGTATTAGATCTCATACTCTTAAGGGCAATTACACGTTTGATAGACTTAACCATCACAGAAACAAGAATTTTCACGATTTCCGGTAAAAAGTCTTGAGGATATAAAAAAGATAGCTGTATAATCGAAGTATCGAAACAACAACGATAAACATATATATGTTGCAAAATAAAAGGTCAGGCTTTCCTTTAACAGAGCTTACTGTGGATAAAATCCTGAGCTGAATGAAGCCACTCATACAGTCATCGCCAGTGCCCTTCATAACCATGTTATCTCGGGTATAGAAGCAAAGATTAGGTGCTTGTATCATGGAGGTGCTTATAACTTCGAAACGAGAATACCGAAGAGTGTGAAGCGGTGCAACCACCCTTGATATGTAATTTAGTGGCCATCGAATTCCTCTGTTCGGGACTCCACAAACACTACACTGTTACCACAATGTTTTCTTTAGGGGGCAACTTATTGCTAACATCTGGAGTGCTTTCCGCATGACTGTGTTCCACCTACATGGTTGTTTATTACTCAATGGACAGTGGTTTAGTTTTTGATTCCTTTACATTCTCAGTGGAGCAAGGCTTCAAACTAGAGCTTTGCAGTTTCGGTAGCAGTGGCATTTTTTACGGGGTGGAGTTACTAGCCTAATGCCCAACCTCCTTTCTTTACTAGTCTTATTGCCGGCTTGGCGAGGCAAAGGTGTGCGTCGACCAAGGATAGAACCCTGCACCACAAGCATGGCTGGCGAGCGTTCTAACGTTAAGCCACCGACGGCTGAGTGGTTTACTGGAAAGCACTAATCGGACAGTTAGTGCCCTTCGCCATTCTCTCTGTCGATTGAAGATAAATACCTGGAATAATGTAATATTCCTCCCTCACTCCCCGACCACTCCTTCGTTCATTCAGCCACGGATTTTTCTCCCACCCTATTTTTGTTTACAAACGAATCACGTCTCATAGTTGAGGTTCAAACACCAGTCCTAACTTTTGCTCAGATAGGTTCGAGAATCGCGTAATTGATTGGCAATAGCCTATGATATGGCATGCACCAGAGATCTGTCATCTAGCTATCAGTGCAAAAATACCTATGGTCTTTTTATTTGCGGATCTTTTCACCCAAATGGCATCTATTTTCATTTCCACTACACATGGTGAAAATCCTATTCTCCACCTCAGAGGCCATTTGAAATCACGCATGCACAAAACCTAAATACGTATTTCATGAAAGATTATCATTATTGCTACTCACTGTAGTCAGCTGGGACCCTACCGTGCATTCCATCACGACAACCTTCTCAAATTCTACAAACCAGACGATTGATGAACAGAGTACCAAGTCTCTTAAAATTGGCACTGAGGAGAGGAGACAGAGCAACGAAAAGAGACTGTATAGACTGCAAGGAATTCACCCACACTCTTTCAGTTTGATTCATGCTCACTTTACGCATGCTGTTCAACATGTGTTCTGTTTTGTTTATCTGAGTGCTCACTCATTGCCTGAAGACATTGGCGGGCTCCCGAGAAGTTACTCAGCGTGTCGTTACTATGAGCGAGAGCATTAAAGTTGTCTGCCGTGTAAGACCACTTAATGAGCAAGAGAAAGCAAATGACAGCAAGTTCGTGGTGTCATTCCCCGGTGATGGAAACACAACTGTATCTCTTGGGGTATGTTTGATGGTTTTTAGTTTGTGACAACTCTTCTATCTAGGGTAAAAACTATAGCTTCGATCATGTAGTTCAGCCGAAGGCATCTCAGTTAGAGGTGTATCAAGTTGTGGCCAAGCCCATTGTTGCAGATGTGCTGAACGGATATAATGGGACAATATTCGCCTATGGTCAAACTTCGAGTGGAAAGACTTTTACTATGGAGGTATGACATTCTGCTTTCTGATTGTTTCTCCTCAGGGTATTTTAGGTGACCCAGTCTTTCAAGGTATTATCCCGCGGATAGTTCATGATATATTCAACCATATACACCAAATGGACGAAAACTTGGTGTTCCGTATTAAGGTAATTTTTGTGGTGCTGTTCTTATCTTCAGGTTTCTTACTTCGAAATATACATGGAAAAAATCCGTGATCTGCTTGATGGTAATTTTTTCGATCTAATTTATATCTTGATTCAGTTTCGAAAACAAACCTACCGGTGCATGAGGATAAAGACCAAGTTCCTTGCGTGAAAGTAAGCTATAATTCCTCCTAACGAGAATCTCCAAGGGTGTCACTGAAAAGTTTGTTTACACTCCAAAAGAGGTTTTCGATGCAATTGATGAGGGGAAGGCTAACCGTCGTGTGGCCGTGACGGGTAAGTATTCCTAGCATATGTCGTACTTGAGCGTTAGTGTTGTTAGCTAGGCTTGGTGGTTTGACTGAAATATTAGTTTTCTGTGCATGAAATTTAAGTTATCTTGGAGTTTATATGACATTGAGGATATTTGCTGACACTAATTTGTGACTGCTTATGTATTTATAGACATGACCGAGCACAGTCTTCGAAGTCACTCAGTACTCCTAATCAATGTTCGACAAAAGAACTTGGAAACTCAAAAGAAACTATATGGGAAACTTTATCTTGTTGATTTGGCTGATAGTGTGACAGTTGCGAAGACAGGCGCTGAGGGTACTGTATTGGACGAAGCCAAAAATATTAACAAATCGCTTTCTGCTCTTGGTAATGTGATCAATGCGCTTGTGGAAGGAAGTGTAAGTTTATACTTTCAGGTGGTGGTGGTAGTAGTGCTTGTATTCTAGCCACTGTTGACTTTGAAATTCCACGTGATTATGACACGTGAGATATTGAATTGTTGTATTTTGATCACGTATGTCTGTATGTGCTCACTTCTTAGCAGAGTTCTGTACTGTGTATGTTTCTGAGGCAGGAAAATCCGTCACACTTACTCATATTTTTAGCCTCTACGGTGACCTGAATCTCTTGTCTGCATATGTTGTACTTATTTGAAGATGACTCCTACTGCCTTATCAAGCTATTGATCTGTTAAATAATTTTCTGTTTCAGTCTCATGTTCCTTATCGTGACTCTAAACTAACTCGCATTCTTCAAGAATCTCTTGGAGGTAATGCACGAACAACTATGGTGATTTGTTGTTCTCCTGCTGGGTACAATGATGCCGAGACGAAGTCCACCCTAATGTTCGGTATGCGAGCTAAAACCATCAAGAATCTGGTAACGGTGAACGAAAAGCTTGCGGCTGATGGATGGCGTAGAAGGTATGAGCGAAAAAGAGAGGAAGGTAGGAAGTTGCGCAGTATTTTTAGTGATCTGAAGAGTGAATTTAAAAGTTTGCAAGCCGTTAAGAAATATTTACTGTAACTGTTTTCTGTTTAAGTTTAACTTGAAGGTTTTGAAAATTAAGGATTCAAAATTGTATATGTATCAATTGCCGGTATCCAGTTTAAGCTGTTTCTGTATCATAGTTATGTTTATTTATTTATCTTTTTGTATATTGTATTCCTGTGAGTAGGAATAAAGAATAAGGATGAGAATGTGGACAAATAGCACAGAGGGAAAGTAAGATATTGGTGTGGGGGTATACTTGGAATATTGAAAATATCAGCAGCATAAAGTGACTGAGTTGCCTAGAGCAGATTTCTCGTGTATTGGGCCGTAAATCACACATATTTTGTGAAGACTAATGTTGCTACCAAGGTGGGCAGGCTGAGTTTGCTGCTGCTGCTGCTGGATTCAACATAGAACTTGGCACCGGAGTGCAGCAGTTCGGGTTGCCACGTTCCTAATAGCACACAAAGGTAGACAGGAAAATGAGTGAAGAGAATCAATAGAGTTTTGACAAGTATAAGAGTGAAACAGAATGAGTAATGGTAGAAAGGAATATGAAAGATTACAGAGACTGAATACATCTGCGTAAGCCATTGACAACGATTTTGAGCCATGTCCCCTGGTGTCTCCAGCCATTGATTCTTAGAGTCCCGAGGGCCCCAACCCGGAAGTCTGCATCTCCCTACCTGACTGAGTTTAACTGTCAAGGATTTCATGGATTGATGCCATGTTTTTGTTTGGCCACCACTTACTCTTTTCCAACCTGCACCTATATCAGCTAGTAATGCCCGTCGGGCGGGGGAGACGATGGTTATGCATACGCAGCACGTGACCTAACCATCTCAATCTATGTAACTTTATAGCCTCTTCGATTGATTTTCCCTCTTTGCCCAACCAACACTCTACGCCTAACGTCAACATTACTTACCTTATTATGCCACCTAACGCGAGAAAGAGATAGTAAACATCTGTGGTCAAAAACAGACAACCTTTTCATGTCTTCCGCTCTCAATGGCCACGTCTCACCGCCATAGAGAAGGACGGAGTTTGATTTAACAGGATTTAAATTCCGAACCCATGGATTGAAAATGGAGCGCTTAAGCGAATCAGCCGCACGCCGATCAGAACCTGTGGCTAGAAACTCCTGGTGATAGTGTTCAGAATTGATCGTAGTGATGATAGGGGTGGATTCATGGTTTGTGCCTATCCTTGTTATAATAGCTCATTTCTCTATTTACATTATCATCTATTTCTTCGTTTTATCCTGCTTTACGACCGATTAGATTATTTCCATCCTGTTGTCTAATTATCTGCTTGATGTGCGTTGATGTATGGCTGATTGTGTTAGGTATGTAAAGTTGAGTTAATGGGTGAGGAGGTCGAAAGCCCGCTCTGCTTATTTTAGCCTAGGGAACTGGCTATTGTCACCAGTCGTCATCTGTCAAATGTAACTCATAAAGGCGGTCGTAGGAAATTGAGTTATAATTTAATGTGGAGAAATGGCATGTTGCAGTTAAGATCACTAGTGGAGTAATATTATGTCCTATTTTGGTATATTGACAATGCGGTCACAGGAAATCACTCCTATCATACTGAACTCATGTATATAGACTGAGGAAAGGTGTAATAGTTCCAGCGAACATTGTGCATAAATATGCGGTTGAGTGACCATTATTTACTTCTGTCGATGTAGTGATTGTTGGTGTGAACATGTGAAGGGGTGTTTGGACCGTCTGGCTTAGCTGAGGGTCCTTGGGATAGTGAAGATCATTAACTACAGACTCAGCGTGGCAACTTTAACTTCTATGTGGAGCCGTGCTTTGATCTGTAATTCAAACAGGGAGTATCTTCTTCACCGAGTAAGCTTACTAATTAATGTTTTAACTATTTGACTGACTGATTGGTTGTTGTTTGTGTGTATTTCTGACTGAACTGATGGCACTTTGGCAACCAAGAACGTGTTGTTACAATTCAGAAGTGGTTATTCCATTCCGATTGTATGCTTGCCTCGGCTTTTTATTTTGTATGCGAAGTTATCGAAATGTATTTGATGATTTGTCAGTTTCTTTTTAATTTTTTGTTTTGTTGAAACCATGAGATATTACACGTTCTTGTCGTATCATAAATACTATGTAGAACGTTGATCATTGTGTGTTGTTTTTCTCTCAGCCTACACTGTCGGAGCTGGTTTGGCTTTGGCAAGGAAAGTTGGAGATGAACAGTTAAAGTTGCTTTATCAGCAACTTGACGACAAATATGATGAAATAAATAAGCAAGTTCAGACAATAGCTCGTCTTCGACAGCAAATTGAAGAGCAAGACGTGGTGAACAATTCTTTGCGTATAGATCGTGAGGAACAATTAAAAGAAATTACAACTCTTCAGGTAAGTGGTAATACATGTTATGAACTTTATATAAATTTATATATCCATGGAAGTGTATTGAAAGGTGATACATTTTAGCCGTTATAATTAACTGCTTTTATCATTTGGTAGATTTTCTGAGTTCCGTTGTGTTGCTTTTCATTGGAGAGTAGAAGGCGGTGGGTGGAGGTTGAGAGAAGGCAAGATTCAATGGCCACTTGGATTTCGACGAAGTTGTCGATGAGTCACACCTATTGTATGTGAGCACTAATCGTACCACTGGTGCCTTGTTAGTGGTTGCCCAAACCCTCTGTAGGAAAAGTGAGGTTCTTAGCGCGTTACCCATTGACTGGTAGTGGAGTGAGTGCATAAAAATGTATGAGCCCCAGTTGCATTCTTGTTTTTCATTGAATGTGAATACTATGTGATGGGCATATATGTTCTTGTGACTGTTGTTTCAGATGAGCTTCTTGTTAAAGTGGTGTTTGATATTAGTTAATGATATAATAGTGTTTTCCTGTCATATTGTGAAGAGGTTTTTTTTAGAAATTATTTTTGCAGTGAATCTCTCCTGTGTTTTCATGTAAACTGGTTTAAAGTGCTTTCTTCCTCCTCAGAGTGCATGTTATTTTGTTTGCTTATTCTAGTGAACTTTCAAGCAGTAGTAATAGTAACAGTGGTAAGAGTAGTAGAAGTAGTAGAATAACTGTGGTTTGACTTTACTGGTAAAGATGATGATGGTGTAGGCATGAGTTTTCATCATTCATAGTGGATGAGTGAAATTACTGAACTCACGTGGTTCTTACACACTAAATTGGGAAAGGCTATAAATAGATGAAATGTGGAAAGACATTGTGGAAACTTTCAGACTGAAGGGTAGGTGTTTGTCTTAAGTCTAACCGTTTCATAATTACGATGAATCGGCAAGTATTAGAGTACTGAAGTTATTTCCCTCTTCTTTCTAAAGCACATGATGACTGCCACTCGTTTTTGACAACCAGCAACTTGGATTTTGCCTATCCACTAATGTCTTTTTATTCATCTTTACTGCATCCTCCCTCCCTCTTCACCCCGTCTGCTCTGTAGAAGAAATACTCACCGAAGTCAACATAACTCACATAGTATTGTATTGATAGGATTATTATTTTTGTGAAATGTTTCCTCTAAATGGATTATTTTTCTTCACTCATTGTGTGTGTGTGTGTGTGTGTGTGTGTCAAAGCTGAATACCAGTCAAGCAAAGATGAAGTGAAGGAAGTCCTGCAAGCCTTATAAGAATTAGCTTGAGGTTTCGGTAGCAGTGGTGTTTACTTTTACAGGTTGGGGTTGCTAGCTTTATGCCCAACTTCCCGCTTTACCAGTCTTATTACTGGCTTACAGAGGTAAAGGAATGTGCCTGTGACCGAGAATCGAACTCCGGACCACATTAGGCACGGTCGGTGGGCAGTCTACCGCACTTTATCACATTATTGATTGTTTGATGGTTGCTCATATATATATATATATATATATATATATAGTTTTATAAGATTTGAACACTGTGGATTCAAGTGTAAAATTCCATGTTAGTTATTTTAAATGTGCCGATTTCTCTTTTAGTCTGCAAATCGTTTGAATGCACCGACAGCGGCTGAAAAAGCTGCAGGTAACCAGCAAGACGGCAATATGGCCAGTCAACAACAACAACAAATCTTCGAAAGTATATTGTTAGATGATGAGGACGATGAACCAGGTCATGCTGGTTCACTGGCTCAAGGAGAGACTACCTCCTTCCCTGAAGAAGAACTAGACAAGTTGAGAAAAAACAATGCCAGGCTACGTTTCGAACTTTTAAAAACGAAAGAACGTCTTAAGGTTAGTTAGTTGGTCAGTAATTATCATTACAGTTTCTCTCTCTTGTCCTTTAAATGAAAAACAGACTTTTCATTGTTGATTTCATCCACTAACTGACATAAGCATTGGGATTTCGTTATGCAACTAAGACCTTGGAAATAACGAGGCGACCTCGTTTGTGACCATTCAGCCATTGCTATGGAATTTAGTCACCACTTATGAATTCTAACTACTGCCAAATAGTGATATCGATGACCATCATGGAGATGGCTGGTTTGGCATTTGCCGCTAATTTATGGCTGTGATGAGTTAGGCATGGTCATTGAATGTGGAAGACATGAAAAGACCGGTTAGTTGTCTTTGATCATAGGTGTCTGTGTTCTTTCGCCGCTGTTAGCTGGTATAATATGGCGTGTAATGTTACGGTTGGAAGTCGATTTTTAGGTAAGGAGGTAGAATTAGTCTCCGAGGTTGTGAAGCTAAATCGATTGAGATAATTAGGACATGTGTTACGAATGTCTAGCCACCAATTGCCTTCCTTGACGGGTAGTGTTAGCTGCTGACATATGCTGGATCAAGTTGAAAAAGAGGCAGTGATGGTCAAACGAAAAAACCTGTCTTCGTCAGTCAATGAAATCCATAACAGTTAGTTTGAGCTAGCCAACTAGCCAGTCACGTAGCAATGTGTAGATTGCTGTCTGGTTGATGTCCTCGGGATGGTAGGAACCAATGATGGCTGGAGACAATTGGTGGTATGGCTCAAAATCTTCGTTCTCAGTGATGGCTAGCGCAGATGCATTCACTCTTTGTGATTTGTCATATCCAACAAAACTGTATTGTTTCTTCCATATTACTATTCATTTTACCTAGCTCACACTTGTGTTTACTATCTGTCTTTTGATGAATCTCTCTTTACTGTCTTGGTTTGTGTGCTACATGGAGGGAGAGTGGCAACTTGAACTAGTGTATGTCTGTGCAAAGTTTTATGTTGAAACTAGTCAGTCAGTCGTTGATCGTCCGCGAAGCACACAGACATGTTATCAAGACTTTGTTTATGCAGCTGTACCTCTATCTGATAAGCGATAGCCTTCGAGATAGCAGATGTGTGGCCTACATATGAGCGAAATGATTGGTACTTCCCACCAAGTTAGTCAGTTAGTTAGTTATGCCTGACACATAATTGATGTGTTATGAAGGAATATTGTGTATATGGAATCCAGAAAAGTGAACTGATCTGAACTGAGTTTTCGATGTAGATAATCATTGTACAAAATACAACAGTTCCAACTGGCTAAACTTCTCAGATGTACGCATAAACAAACTGAAGTGTTGGAGAGAAGGGATGACTACATCGAGAATAATGGATCCTTGATAGATTACAAAAATGTGAGTGGATGCGCATCATTGAAAGTAATTTTTGAGCCATCTAAGCAAGAATTTGTAGCGCCATCAAGGTAGTGCGTCATAGCCTGTCTCATAGTTGTTCACCAGGAGGCTGATGGATACAACGATTTGAATCCAGCCAGCCAGCCAGTCACCTGGCCCTGAGCCTAATTCAACTTGAGCAGCTGGGTGGCTAGTAGCATCGTGGGAAGTCTTAATTTTTTGTCGATGTACATACCTTAAAACTTTTGGAGTTGATGTTATTAAGTGTTAGAGAGGTAGACTGTCTTTCAGTAATTCTTAGTTTGTATGCTTTGTGCTGACTGGTCTTGACTGACACCATAGTTTTCAGTGTCACTCGAGAAATAATGTATTCACGTTCAAGAGTTATTTTGTAGAGATCCGATTTGTTTGAAGTTTGACACGAGTTAACGAATTATTGGAAAACCAGGGTAGTGTACTGGACAGTTGTTTTGTTTTAGCTAGTTTGGGACTGTCCAGCAGTACGCATCCATTGGTATTTGAACTCTGAGGACCATTCAGTTCTGGTCACTAGTAACTGGACAAATCCTGGCCACGGATGACATTGGCTGGTGACAGTCGCGGTAAAATTACGATTTGGAACAGGTTAGAATTCATAAGGCATTGGATTGGATCCCAGTGCCGGAATGGCCTGTGAGCTTGACTTGTGACCGGTAGTTCCAGGGTGCGTTCTGCTGAATAGTCCGAAGCTGAGGTGGAACAGACCCGCAGTACTCACATCCGGGTTCTCCAATGGTTCTCTGAGTGATGTTACCTTGTGATAAAAACTGCAATGTAGTCATCATTAAATTTCAAAGGGAAGTAAGTGTTTGAAGTCTCATGTGAATAATAATAATGTGTGGAGAAATTAGTGGATAGGTGAAATTGATCTACGGGAAATTGAATCTCCAAATCTCACTATTGTTCATAGCGGCATAAATGAAGGGCTTTAAGGGTTCTGTGGACACTGAGATATTATTACTGTGTGAGGACAATTTTTCACTAACAAGCATTCTAATGATACAGATGAGAAATCTTTTAAACATCAATGATTATATCGCCACCTATTTTGTTATGTTTTCTTCTTGTAGTATACTCAGGTGCGTGAACAGCGCCTATGGAAATTGGCTGAGGAAGAAGATTGGCTTTATCGTAAACGTGATTTAGAACGTATTAAATAGATTCGGCGTCAACGCTATATCACTAGACGTCGCTGTCAATCACAAATCGCTAAACCTATATGTGCTGGACATCCACCAGTGTCCTCTGCTGGCGGTGGTAGGACAACAGTGAACCAACCAAATATTCCGGAATTGTCATAATCTCTTAGATACGTGATGATTATTTTTCTATATGTATGTATACTTTCCTTCAGAGTTTCACCTTGGTAGGCTATTGATGAAGAGCCCCTTATGCTGCGTATGAATGTGTGTATAAATTTGATTTTTCTCTTTTCTATCTTTATAATTTATATTTTTTTATCTCACTTTTTTTAACACATCTGTGGTTGGGATAAAGTGGTATGCGTGAATGGGGGAGGGAGGGAGGCAGGGAACACACAATTTGTAAATATCATTACTGCTGTTATCACAGGAACACTTGACTTTTCCATCACATCTGTTATCGATAGAATTATTATTATTATTATTATTCAGTCGGTGGATGTTGACTAGCAGTGGAATCCACGATGCACATTTCGTCGTATTTGGGACTCATCAACTGGATGTACCTGCATTCCCAGTGAGTGATGATATTCCCACCGAGGCTCGAAACCAGTGTCCATAGTTTCAAACGCTAAAGCGTTATCCATTAAACCACTTGGACCACGAGAGCCACCTCTTGTGCAACGCGTCATATTAATTTTAATTGAATTTTGGATTTTCCCGTCGATTGATTGGACCGAAGTACTCGAACTCAAGCTGACATGTCGGCTTCTTGTGCAGATGCTTCGACGATGTCTTGGCGTCGTTGACCCGAGTGGTCTAGTGAGTAACGCCTTGGCGTTTGAAACTATGGGCACTGGGTTCGAGCCTCGTTAAGAAGATCATCACTCACTGCCTGGGGAATGCAAGTACATTCAGTTGACGAGTCCTAAATAGGACGAAATGCGCATCCTGGATTTCACCACTAGTCCTCATCCACCAATTAAATTCTAATTACATGCCCAGACATCGTCGAAGCATCAACCTGAGACCGGGTACATTGGTCCAATAAATCAACGGGAAATCTAAAATTCAGCTATTATTATTATGACTGATTGCACAGTTTTATGATCCTGCTGCCGATGATACGACCGTGATTAGTTTATATTTAGATAGTCATTTGCACAGTTATGTTGGTATATCGGAGAGTTAGACCTGATGAGATCTTTCTATTATAATTTTTGTTTTATTCCCTTACTTTCCGTATGAAACATATGGCTTCAAGCTAGAGAGCTTAGCAGTTTCAGTAGCAGTGGAGTGAGTTTGCTAACGTTTCACCCACCGTTTACCGACCTTACTCAACGGGTTAGGGAGTGAAAATCCTACATTAAGAAACTATTTTATTCTTTGTTGTTCTCTTGGCTAGATGAGTTTTAATTGCAAAGCTCTGATTGTCTACTTCATATTCCTGATTTCATGAGGGTTTTTCTAGAATTCTTCATGAATAGCTGGACTGATGATGCAATTATCTAATAATGGTGATTTGCTTTATTCTTTATCTTAGGGTGTGAAGATTCCAGCATTTCATACAATATTGCGTCTAATTTACTCAACATAAAGAACAACAGAGGTACAGATACACTTGACCAGCATTCTTGATAACACCAACAACTTCAGGTAGTAGCAGAAGAAAGTTACCATAAGAATAATGATATTATCAGTATTTCTGATACCAAATTATAAGATAATGGGGATAGTGAGTGTCACCATGGAATTACAAATATAGGAGAATGAATGACCGATTCTTAAACCATGCCAATAGCACAGCAATTCGTAAATTTCACTTGTTTGACACTGTCTTAATGAAGTAGAACGCAGTCAATGGGATGAAACACATAGGCTATCGTTCAGTTACTATACTTCGTTGTGCAAGCGAGCATATAATCCTTATATAAGGACTTCTAGACAGTCCTAGTGATGAGATTCAGTGGGTAGGAAGAAAGTACTGAAGAGAGAGGGGATAGAGTGTTTAGAGCCAGAAAATATACATGGATTTCGACGATTTCTCACACGAGTCCAGGTGTCTGTTGCCTGAGCCGCACACAAATTACCCTACTAACAACCTCTCACACCCAGAGTAATAGAACATACTCCTTTTTGAGTAGGTAGTGCAGGGAAGACTACAGTGTGGTTGTGGGAAGCAATGAAGAGTAATTGGTAAGATGGAGAAGTCCACAAACTGTAAAAGTTGAGGTTGAGTGATTCCAGATTGTTGTAACTTCTCAATGTAGAATGTTCGACTGAGGATTTCCTTAGAAATAGACAGGATATGGGGAGACGAGAAGGGTGAGGATATAGGAGTGTAGCAGGGTAATTTCTGCCTGACATGGAGGAGATCGTGTGAAGAAGAGTTGAAACAGTATGGACTAACATGGATGCAGGTGAAAAGTACAGCAGAAGACAGAAGCAAGTGGAGACGTGCAGTTGAAGCCCTATGTTCCACTAGGAACCCAAGGGAACAGTAGCAGCAGCAGTACTGCTTCCTATCAAAAAAATAGGAATGTAACCACTTATGTGTCCAGCTTTCAGCCTGTGTTGCAGCAAGCTTACTCAGCAAGAGGGACCTAGGTACAGAGTCAAATGCAGATGTTAAATCGAGGAAGGCACACCTAACGTATTTAGCTCCTCTATGTAAACTAGAGACTATATTATGATATAGAACAACAGCGGCATCTAAGATACATCTACTATGTTTATAAGCAAACTGGTTAGGGTCATTGAAAGGCTTTAAGGAGAGTTCAAGATTAAGTAAAATAAGTCTTTCCATAACTTTCAAAAAAGGTGAGGTAATAGCAATGGGTCTAAACTTGACAGAAGGTCCACTTGTTGATTTAGGCAATGGAACAGCCTTGATATTTTTCCATGAGTCAGGTATAATACTTTTGGAGAAAGATTCGTTGAAAATGTCAGTTAATGGGTAACATAAGATGTCGGCACACTTCTTAAGGATAACAGCGGGAACTCCACCAGGACCAAGGGACTGAGTAGGTTTGAGAGATTGAAGATACTTAGGCTGCTGACTGGCTTGATTCAACATAGAACTTGGCACCGAAGTGCAGCAGTTCGAGTTGCCACGTCCCAAAGAGGTCACAAAGGTAGACAAGAAAATGAGTGAAGAGAATCAATAGAGTTTTGACAAGTGTAAGAGTGAAACAGAATGAGTAATGGTAGAAAGGAATATGAAAGTTTACAGAGACTGAATACATCTGCGTAAGCCATTGACAACGATTTTGAGCCATGTCCCCTGGTGTCTCCAGCCATTGATTCTTAGAGTCCCGAGGGCGGGCCCCAACCCGGAAGTCTGCATCTCCCTACCTGACTGAGTTTAACTGTCAAGGATTTCATGGATTGATGCCATGTTTTTGTTTGGCCACCACTTACTCTTTTCCAACCTGCACCTATATCAGCTAGTAATGCCCGTCGGGCGGGGGAGACGATGGTTATGCATACGCAGCACGTGACCTAACCATCTCAATCTATGTAACTTTATAGCCTCTTCGATTGATTTTCCCTCTTTGCCCAACCAACACTCTACGCCTAACGTCAACATTACTTACCTTATTATGCCACCTAGCGCGAGAAAGAGATAGTAAACATCTGTGATCAAACACAGACAACCTTTTCATGTCTTCAACTCGTATTGGCCATGTTTCAGAGCCATAGAGAAAGACGGAGCGAACTGCTGGGCAGTACGCACGTCCCTTGGTTGATAGTCGGATGTCACGCCTACGCCAGAGATGGTGTAAGTTAGCGAAAGCAGCCCGAGCTTTTTGGATCCGTTCTGAGATTTGGTCACCAATCAATCCGTTGGTGCTGATACAACTTCCCAAATAGGTGAAGTGGTCAACATGTTCTATCACTTCACTCCCTATCACTAAGCTAGGAGTTGACGTAGTCCAGTCCTGTAGCAGCATCTTACATTTCACAGGGGCGAATCGCATGCCAAACATACGAAGATTGTTGCTCAAGGTGTTCAGAAGACTGCATTTTGTCAGCATCCTCCCCCAACAGGACTATGTCATCTGCATATTCTAAGTCCATAAGACTATTCCCTGGTAACAAGTCGACTCCTAAGTCGTTAAGTTCAGTTAAGGATACTTCCATTAGCATATCAATGATGAAGTAAAACAGAAAAGGGGGAATGTGGACATCCTTGACGGACACCACTGGTTGTTATCAATTCAGATGACAATTCCCCATAAGCCCTTACGTGGCTACGTGAGTTTGATTAGAGTGCCTTGATTAGTGCAATGTACTTTCTTGGCACTCCCTTCACAGTCAAACATTGTCATAGTATCTCGCGATCCACGGAGTCGAAACTGTTGTTTTCACAAGAACGCTTGGCTTTTTCATCACATCTGTTATTGATATTATTATTATTACTATTATTATTATTAGACTATTTGCACAGTGTTACCATCCAGTTGACGACCATACAACCGTGATTAGTTTATATTTTAATATTTATTTGTAAAGTTATGTGGGTATATTGGAGAGTGAAGCCTGGTGAAATCTTACTATTATTAGTATTATTTTATTTCTTTACTTTCGATGTGGAACATATGGTTTCAAGCTAGAGTGCTTAGGAGTTTCAGTAGCAGTAGAGTGAGTTTGCTAGCCTTCCCCCCACCGTTTACTGACTTTAGCGGGTCAGCGAGGTTTATGAGTACGTCGGTCGGGGATCGCGGGGTCGGCGAGCATTCTACCACTGACATGCTGATGAGGTCTAGTTGCAAAAACAAGTGTAGTTTGTGGGGATTTGATTTGATTGGATTGATTGGTTATGGGTTTTCATCATGAGATGACATTGCTCAGAGAAGTATTGGGCAGTTGTTTCTTTTTGTAGTTTGTAACTCTCCATCAGAACGGACCTACCACATTGGTTGGAGAAGAAGACCCATCGGTTACGAGACGGCGAGCTAGCTTGTAGACCATTAAACTACTGGTTCCGGATCCAATGACCAGCCCATGAGGAATTC